CCAATTTGCCTGTGCCACCCCTATTTTAACTACATACTACATCATGTAACAGCTTGAAAAGCTTTTCAGTGACTTTTTCTTTCCTCCACGTTCTCACAATGCTACTCAGTTTCTTTTAGCAACACGGTAATTACTGCAGCAGATCAAACCTTAAGTTCTGCAGTTTAGTGCTCAGTACCATCTGCCTCCAAAAAAAGTGGTAAACACTGCAGTAATTAAGCTAGGGGAAGAGTCTCCCCGAAATACTAGTTCTCATTTACTTTTCCCCCATAGGCTTAAGGCTTAAACCAAATCCCTTCAGCAAGATATCAGTATGGAATCACTGTGTTCACTTGCAATTACTTGATCGTAGCTTATTCACATTTCCACCTCATACACAGATCTTCGTATTTTAAAAGGCAGCTATCCAGAGTGCTTTCCACAATTAACACAACAGAGGTTTTCAGCTTGAAGGTTATTCCAGCCAGCCACAGTATCTGCTTCCAAAATTAAACCTGAACAGCTATGGCTGGCTGAGTGTTTCCAATCTCCAAACCATGCTTCATCTCTCTTGAGCCGTGGCCCTCCTTCCCCCGCGGCAGCACGTGCTTTACTTTTTGTAAGTCCGGATTGCCTTGACCATTTACAACCTTCCTGAACTTCTCTGTGGCAATATGCAAAGGCTGAAAAATCATGCTGTAAGCACACAGAGCAAGGTTTGCTAAAATACATGATTAGATGATTAGCCAGACTGCTAAGAACCTTACGCAGGAAGCAAGGATTTGAGGCTCCCTCCCCTGCAACAGGGTTTCAGAGATGAAGTGTTCAGTCATAACATGGGAGACCCTTTTGCCTAGTGCTACCGTACTGCCTCCTCCCCTACAGAAGCCCTTCTGATATTTCTTAGGCACCAGAGGGCATATTTCTATTAACAGACTCGACCAGAAGTGAAGGATTCCGCACTCCGTCCTCTATTCATCCCCACTGGCAACGGCCGGCGCAGCACCCAGGCGTTCCCGAAACGGCTCCCGCAGGACACGCTACGCTGCAGGAGGAGCATTTCCAATGTCAACGAAGTGAACAGGACTTCTCTTTTGCAAGGGGACACATCACACACCCCCACCCTTTTTTAGCATAGCAGTCTTCAAAATGACTACATCAAAGCTTCGTTTTAATTGACACTGAAAACCTGTTTTCACTGGGCCCTTTAATACATAAGGTGACTAGAGTAAGTCTCTCTATAAAGAGCAGGTGTAAGAAACTAGTCAAGAAGGGGGAAAGAAGAACCCACACTGTTAGCTGTCTGGTATTTATTACTTTTTAATACAGAGAAGTCACAACAAAATATTCTCTAACAACACACGCAAATGATATCATAACCAATTATTTTAATTTCATCAACATTCATTTGCTATGTACATATTCTTCCATCTGCAAAAGTGCAATCCAAGAATGTCTCAACAAGAAACCTTTATGGACAAGTATACTTTTGAGGGGTTTTCTCACCAGTGGCCTTAAAACAACATGTTTGTCCTCGGTTACCTCGTACAGCAAAATGAAGAGTACATGGGGGAAAAAAAAAAAGAAAAAAGAAAGAAATTGGGTTAGATGCCTCCTTTGTAGGAATATTCCCTATCTTCCCAACTAAACTCGTTATGAATACACTGCTCACTACCGGAGATGTTAATGCAAATAGACTACAGGATAGTGTATGGGCTGGCTATAGAACACCGTAGTTTTAACAAGAATTTCAGGCTCATCACCTTGGTAATGTCAAATTATACATCAGCATGTAAAAGATGTCCATTGTGTTAGTTACAGTTATCAAAATTTAATTTTAAACATCCTACTGATGGATGAATTCATTTTTACACATCCAAAATATGAAGTCTATCTAAATGCAAGCCTCTCGTATGGAAAACAGAGTTAACTACTGGAAAGAAAAGCATTTGCACATGCAACTCCTATTACTATCACAAGGAGTATCGTGCACTTAAGAGTAGAATGAATCTCCAAATCCAGAGGACTGTATTCTCGTTTATGAAACATATTTCAGGCACAATTTAATCTGACCACAGGCCAGATTTAAAAGAACACACAGCATCAGAAAAATGAAAGGTAACGAAGAGTAAACTTTAGCCAAACAAGCAAAGCAAGCAGCTCCCTAGCTAGGGAAATCTTTTCCCTTTTGACACATTTAAAAGCTCATGGCCACTTCCAGTGCTCGTCAAGATGGACAGCAAACCAACTGCAGTCTAGTTTAACCTCTGAAGTAGCCATTAGGTCCCAAAGAAGTTACCTCTGCCTTTGTACTTATGCAAAGCCCAGCTGAAACTCTCATGGCCAAAGGGTGGGCCTGACTGCTTGACTGGAATCATGCATATTACAAAAAATACTGCATTTTGCAGTAACCCAAGACCAGTTTTCAGTACCAGCAAGAAGCAAGGAAAGCATTCTCTACAAGTTAGGGACAATTTACTTTGGAGTGAAAGTTCAGAGGAATCTTTCCGTAGCTCAGCTGGTTTCCATCGAGGATCATTTTTACAGTGCTACATGTGCTGCAAGCCTCCAGTTGAGAGATGTGTTTTGCAAGAAAATAGGCATTTCCTCAAGCAGTAGATAAGACTCACTTAGCGGCAGAATGAAAAGGAAAAGCTGATGGAGAACTAAATTGTTTTCTTGGATAGATTTGTACGTAACTCCTTGTCACCGTTAAGACTTCAAATACGCTTTCCCCTTCCCATTTTCTCAGTCTGCTGCATTCTTGGTTTTCACTTGAATATACTGTACAACCTTTCATAGGCTTGTGTTTTTAAAGCTGGCCAAATTCCCTTTCTCCATGTCTACTCATTCTCGATTGTCATACATACATGTCTGGAGAGGCATCGAAGTACTTAAAGGACAGAATTATAAATTAAGTTACTCTAAGGAAAGCAAATGAACAAGTATTTGGAAGGACTCCAGATCCCACTTCTCCTCTACCACGTGCATTGTACAGTGACACTTCCCCTCGTCGAATGCATGGAGAAGTGGGTACACAACACCAGGTAGCCTATGTGGGAATCAATACCCTAGACTCATGGCATGAGTGACTAGCACTCAAGACCAAACACTACAGTTACAGATGTATCCTTTAATTTTTCTCATTACAGGAGCTTTGTCTTTGCTGTGTGATTTCAGGCCGCTGGAACAGTCTAGCCGTTGTCCATCTGGTCTGGTTCTGCCAGGCAAAGCAACTCGAAACCTTGTTAGCCACCCTAACTCCATCAGGTTGCTCAACATACCATCAAAGCTGAAGGGCCCATCCTCCCTGAGGAGTTAATTCAGATTATAACTTGATTGTTCTCCGTCTACACTGCACAGCTAACCAGGTTTTATCTGCTAGACACCTTCTTCCAGCGCAGGTATGCCTGGACCAGCTCCTGCTCCTATGGACAATGGTTACAGTGCTGGTCCCGCTGCAACTGGGCTCGGTGTTACTTGGTTTGTGGTAGCCACACCAGAACAGTGTTAGAAGTACCCCAAAGTCCTTCCCATAATTCTCCTTAAAAAGAAAACAGGTTTTCCCAAAACTGGCACAAACAGGGAAAAACTGTACAAAACCCCAAGGATGTGCTCCAGACCCAAAACCAAACACAGGAGCGAGGACAGAAGGAGGGGAGCGCCGGTGATGAAGGCTACCGCAGCCTGCTAACATGGTTGTTCAGACCAGCAGCGGATCACCAGTGTAACTGTACGAGATAGACAGTCTGGATGTGAAAACCATTAACGTGAGCTGGCTGGCTTCTACGGACATTACCACTCAAGTTAGCAGGAAGTGATCTGTGCCAGCATAAGCCCTCTGTGCAGCTCGAGTATTACTAGAAGAGTGGCTAATGCTAAAAGGAGCTAATTCTGCAGTGAAGACAGCCAGGAAATAAAACTGTGAACTTGGCATTTTTATGCACAAAGAAACATGGATATTCAGTTTGAGTTTTATATGTGCACATTAATTTCTTAAGTTAGCAGAAAGCATAATTCTCAGTCCAGCATATGAAACATTTTTTTGGCTTCCGACTTCTTTGTTTTCTTTCCCAGGGTGGCAGAGTATCAGGGCCATTTTCGAGATCATGATTTCAACAGATACACTCTTTAAAAAGATTCTAATCTGGGAAAACCAAACAACTTCAGAAGAAACTAAAAATAATCCCACCTCATAAACAGAAACAAACCCCACACCTCTCGAGTGGACAAACACTCCATAAATACACTATGGAGAAAAGCAAAAAAAGCCCCTCCCCTAGATCTCAATTGGCTTGAGAAACCAAGCAAAAGATTAATCACCTATTTTAAAAAAATTTTTTAAGGAAGGGAGAAATGGGAACCAAGAAACAACAACTGCAGAGTCTACAGGGCCAAGCCCTCTGATACAAGTTCACTGCCTAATGCATAGTCTATTATGTACAGCACAGAGGCATGTAGAAAGTAAATACGCTAGGTTTGCTTTCTTAAAAAGTCTCCAAGTTTTTAGATCCTGGACAACGCAATTTGGAAAGACAAAGGTGCAGCAATTAGTTGTTTTAAAAAGCAACGCCATGTTTTGTACTCAGTACCTCTCAGCTCTTACAGGTCTGACGGCCCAGATCCCACTTCACGGTCCTCCTTCCACACCAGTCACACCAGTCCGCAGCAGGCAGCAAAGCCTCAGCCCTAGCAGACACATACAAACACATCCCCATTCAGCTCAGCCTGTTCCTTCCCTAAAATGTCTGTGAAGAAACACCTTTAAATAAAGCATTTTAAGATCTCCAGCTTGTTTTGGTATGAACAGGTGACCCGGCTGGGCACATGACAGCCCTGGTGGAAGCAGCACTATTGCCGTATGGTCCGTCAGTGAGGGCAACGCACATCAAATGCACACGGCAGGAAGACGCTATGCCAAAAAAAAAAATAATTCATTTCAAGATTGTATTTTCTGGCATACATTTACATTCACTTGTCACAATACCTTAGTTTACCCCGTCTCGGGAAATCTGAAAGAAAGCCTGCTGAGGCAACTGGCAGCACGGGGCCAGCTCCTGCGCCCGTGGGAACCAATGCGAAAGGCTGAATGAATTCAACAGTAACAGGACGGTTTCTTTCCAAGGATTTCCCATTTCCACCAAGCTGGAGGGGCAACAACCCTACACAATTACCCACTTTCCAACCTGACATATTTCTCTGTCCTGTAGGTCTCCCCACACCCTTCCTATAAACTGTATTACAATTATACAAAAAAAATAAAACCAAATCATTTTTAGCTGAACTCCACCCCACACTCGGGATATATTCAAAGGCCATTGAATTGGCTTGCCTCCAACCTTCACAGAGATCTTGTCAGGAGGATTCCGGTTTTAACAACATGTATATATATACATATTAATATGTACACAGACAAAGAAGCTGCTCTTTCAGTTAGAAAAGAAATTAAATTTCATCACAGAATGAATCCTATAAAAAGATATGTAATAAAGTTGAAATACCCATAAAATAGCTATTACTAAAGCAAAGCTTTCGTCAATAAGCCTCCAAAACTTTAAATGAAGAAAATGGCTTCACGAAGTGGTAGTCTAGATTTCCACAGTGAGGACACTGCTGGACGTTGCTGTATTCAGAGAAATACTGCATGCCAATCCGTACATCTATTACTGGCTTCCCACAGTGCTTACAGTTCAGTCGAGCCTGTAAAAACAAAGAAACAAACAAAAAAACCCTTTTGAAATAACCAAACTCGCCTCCGCTTCTCGCCTCTGAAAAAGAGAGCATCGCACGCAGCCCCCTGCCCTGCCCTCCCCGGCAGGAGAGGGGGTAAGTCAGGAAAGTGGCAGTAACGGGATCTGCTGGTAAGGACATTCCTCACCCGGACTGGTAACTTGCAGGCATACACAATGTTTTTCACATGAAATACCACCGCCGAATTCTGGTGAGTAAGCTACCTCCCACTCTGACTGACAGGAGGTGGAGAACTTCAAAGTTTATGTACGCACACGATTGTTTTGTGTTGATTAATCTCTGAACCAATTCCTCAATCCCCAGAACAAGAAGTGCTGCCTCAATAAATCATTAATGAAGCCCCAAAGTGAAGAGAGAAATTTTACATTTGTACCATGCAATTCAACCGCTTATGCTGACGTTTGAACATGATCTGTCTATGAAATATATCAGCATTTTAATCTTTCAGCTTAAGAAAGGTGTAACTCGATCTACTTTATCAGCATGGCATGGTATTGCATCACTTAGGTATCTATTTAAACATTTATAATACGTACCAGGTTATACAAACTAAACATCACTTCAAGCACAAAAACTATTCTACAAAATCCAACTGAGAAAGGACCAACATTAACAGGGTGGATATGAGAAATAATTAAATGTCAAGGGTGAGGACAGACAGAGCTATTAATGTTCAGCAGTAACAAAGAAAAGTAAGTCTTCAGAAGACACCTAGCTGAGAAACCCAGCCCATTTGATGTAAAGAAAGCGACAGGCGGTGTGAAAGCTCAGCAGGCCGTTTGAAATACTCAAGAGAAGCAGAAGAGATTGGAGACCGTAAAGGAGTTTAAAGGTGGCAAATGAGCAGCGAGGGCCTGAGCTGTACCATAGCTTAACCTCGCAGCCCAATATGCTAACGAAAGCTTCAGCTCTCCACTGAAAAGAACAAAAAATTATTTTCTATGGCAATCTTGATTTAAGGAATTTTCCTGGGATGAGGAGAGGAAGAAATTATTGAAGTACTATTACTGTTGCAACGAGACTCAAAAAGAAACAAACCATCAGCTCCACAGCCATCTGCTCTGCTTGAAAAACAGAAATTCTAAGAAATACAATCTAGTAGGGCACGGATTTGTATGACTTTCTTAACCAAAGTGTTGGTTTCCCCCCTTGCTACTGTCCAGCACATCAGCTATCTGCCAGTAACCTGACAGTGGCTACAGTTCATTATCCGACATGCACATTTGTGATGTATAATTAAATATTTTGAAATAAGGTATGAAATCATTCAAAATAGAAATTAGCAAGGCAATTCGGAGTTAAATTATATACCATATTTAAATGTCATTCCTCTGTATGCACCGAATCATCTGTAACAATCACGGTGAAACAATAATGCGTATTATCTGGCAATCATAGTCACTGCAGCTGATGATTTCATAGTCAGTTCTATTACTTACCGTGTACTGTCACACTGTCCATTAATCACATAATTAAGGCTCTTGTAAAATGAGACCTTAATTCTTGTCTTGTATATTCAACAGAAGCAATTCAGATTTTAATTTCCTGGCTTTTACAGAGCTAGCAAGTCAGCATCGGTGTTTTATCTTTAAAAGTCCCTATTATTAAAAAAAAGTTACAATCTCAAGAGGCACTAAATTTGGAGGCAATATCTCTGTCTTTAATTATAATTGTTAGCAATGTCATTTTATCCAGAAGCAGCAACTCCAGAGTCTTTTGACACATTTTGGTATATATGTTAAATTTAAAATAAAATGGCATTTTGCCTATCAACAAACCTAGATTTTAGATTACTCTTAAGCACGCACAATACCATGAAGTGATCATACTTTGAATGACTGCATCTCTGCGAGGGTCCTGTTCGCACCCAGTAACAAAACCCGTGTGTCCGAAGGCAACAGCCCGCTCCTGAGCATCCCGAGTGGACCACTGAGCCGTTCCCAGACAAATGCTTTTTCCATGGCTCTCTACCCCTACCTATACAACAAAAGTGCTCTGCCCATTGCATGGACAATTCTCTTGGATGCTGACGACCCTGCTGCCTCAGGCACGTACCTCAGGCAGTAACCCCGGGCCTTGGATCTTTCTCACCCAAGGTATAGATTAGGCGAGCATTTAATGAAAACTAAGCTGCTTCAGGCTGTGGTGGAGTACCATCACCAGAGTCAGTCGCCACAAAGATTAAGGAGAGCTGGGTAATCTCCAAGCACAAAGACTCTTTAGACCTTTCCGTTCCCCTGGCTTTTTTGCTACAATTATCTTATGATAAAACACAATTCAAACAACTATGAGAACCCTGAATACATGAAACATCAGCTGAAAATGTGCAACTGTCATTAAAACACTACTGGAATTATACCTGATGCCAAAGATACTTGCTAGGGATCATCCCAAGGATCAGATTTAACTGTGGATGCATTTAAAGGGGCTTTATTTAAAAACATAAGTAATAACCACTGACCACTGCATTGGTTTGTGTCTAGCTATCGGCCTTTGTGCCTCATAAGTTAAGACAAAGAGACAGGGACTCGGTCAGCTTTCTTGTATAGCACTCATAGGTACAGGCTGGAAAAGAAGGATGAAAGAGGGGAAGGGAGAAGAGAAACACAAACCTTGGCTTTACTTATCATCACTTGGAATTTCACCTTCGGAGTCTTATTTACGCACGGTACTAACCTGACAACAGGGAGATGCTGCCAGAATATCGTAGGTATACATAGTTCCCAGCTGATGCCAGCTTCCATCCCATCGGGACTTGCACTTAATGCAGATAATTTTGTGAACCCCTTCTAAGCAGTCTACGCAAACAGCATAGAGGTGCATAAGCCTTCCTGTGGACAGGAAAGACACTTATTAAGGAGACTAGAACAGAAGATTAAAACAGACATTTCCCGCAATGTATTATCTGCCCTTTAGTGATACAAATCACACCTTTTTTTTTAAAGGGTGAATGATAAAGTAAAAAATGTTTCTCTATGGGAAATACGTAGGGCTTGACTGAAGCTATTTTCCATGGATGCAAAACTCCAGGATTAGTCATCACCCTGCCCACCCTCCTTTCCTCCGTTTGCTGGTAGACCTTAGCAAAATATTTTATAAAAGGAGCTGCTTAAGCTCAGTGAACAGATGCCAGGTTAAGCTATGTGATCAGCTGCAGTGTTTCCAAAACAAGGATTGTGCCCTAGCTTCATCCCCACCTGACAGAAGAAGTGGAGAAGTGTTGAAGCTTATTAGCAAGCTGGGTACAGATTCCTTTAACAACTTGCCAAAATCTTCCAGCAAAGAGGGAGCTAAGGACCTAATATTCCTCATGGAAAAAAGCAACAGCCAGAAGAGCGATTTTCTTTCATGTACTTTTTCCTGACCATTCATTTACAGTAAGTATATTTAAAAACATTATATATTACACATACAGATCTTAACATGCCATTCAGAACTATGAATCTTTCGAGCTCTATCATGACCTTAGGCTCTGTACACACAATGACTTTCAAAACCTGAGTTATATTGACTTCCAAAAAAATCAAGCAGCCCAGAATTGAAAATGAAGGATTTTCTCTCCATAAATGTTACTAAACTCACCAATGCAAAACCTAAGATGCAAATTTCACACAAACCAAAAAGCCCTACACAAATTACAAAGAGCTGGCATCTAGATTATGCCCGATTTGTAGTGATTGAATCCATTTGTAATTTAATAGTTGGCTATTAAAAGTGGGCTGACAGAGAGTACTAATTCTGTAATATACCATATTTTGCACTGCTATACAAGACAAAGTTAAGAACTACTGCAGTTACAGATCAGCTACAAAACAGGACTGCATATAATATGTGTTTATTTTGGAATGCAATTTGTGCTTTTTAGCATCCAAGTACTGAACACATCACAACCTGTAATTTAAAGAAGACACACATCTCGTACCTTTTCTAGATAAAAGGGAATAAAATATTAACCATTTATGATTAGTCCATACCAGATACTTTAAAACTAATGGTTTGGTTTTTAAGTTGTTTTGTTTTTTAAGCCAACTATTTTAGAAAAATGAGAAGACAAGCCAGATTCTACTTAAAATATACATATGAAATAAACTTGCTAGTATGAGCTGGTAAAAATTGACTTATTCCACATTGACGTGTTCAGTTGTATAAAATGTGATGTGATGAGACTGAAGTGCAAATATAATAAACTCTGTTCCTGAAGTGAACACTTGAGATTGGATTGAGATTTCAAACAATTTCCCGCACGGAAGTTTTGCGTTGGGCAGGAAGATAAAATAATTTTCCTCATCTGAAGTTCTACACTGCTCCCGCACATTGTAATACTGCATTTCCCCACCGCTTAATTTTCAGGATCCTTGTTATATAGGAAATGAGGCACCTGACATCTTAAACATGCCTGAAATAAAAGAAGTGATTTTCTGTACTGAAGAGAAAATAATACCCTAGAACAGCACCTTGCAAGCTTACTTTCATTTCAAAGAGTACTTCTGATAACAAACCATTTTACCCAGGACAAGGAGGTAAAAATTTTAACAATTAATTATTCATGGTATCTTGTCTGAGCAAGTTTTTCACATGTATCGTCCAATCGGTAAGGAGCAATTAATTAAAAAAAAATAATAATTTCACAGAGTTTCATTCTTGGTGGCAAATGTTAACAACTGATGAGTTTCACTGTTACTAAACCAGCTATTAGTACTGATAAAATCACAAGGACATTGTGCATGCCTCCCCACCAAAGAAGTAAGCATTATTATCTCACATACATATATTCTGTTTATCCTGGAGTTTTTTTAGCTCGTGTATTCGCCTATTACTTTTTCTCCTTAAAATACATTAGGCAAGACAGAAACAATGTTAGCATGAATACAGTTTAGTGACTTAGTGCACAGTGATTGAAGGAAAGAAAAAAAAAACCAACACAAAGTTTGTTGAGCAAAGGAATGTTACATTAACATGTATTATGACCATGCATGGGATATAACATATTTTATTGAAAGGAGAGAAACTTAAATGTTAAGATACCTCTCGTCAAAGCCTTCCCAACACACTTTTCAGCATATAATTCTGTTTTTGAACACCAAACTATAAATACTTTCTCTGACTTATTTTAGCCATGCTGGCTGCCAGCAGGCTGCAGGACAGGCGTGTGCTGCCATGTACCACCCTGATCACTTAGTTTGGGACACAGCTTTCAGGAAGAGCTGAAGCTCATCCTAGCCCACATCCATTTGTTTCTCTAGGAGGAGAAAAGTAATACACGCCTTGGTCTCAACTCAGCTTGGAGCTGGGGCATTATTAGGATGCAGTCCGAACAGGTGGGAGTTTGGAAAGAAGTCTAAACCTACACCCTTGCTGCTTCAACCCACCATATTAAAAGCTTGCTTTTACTACGTCCGACCTCCCCAGGCCAGTGTTAACACAGGCCAGACTATAGTCCTTTTCGTATAACAAAAAAATAGTTCACTATAAAACAAAACTGATATTCTTTAGTCTCAAAGCAGATGAGAGGCATCTCATCTCACCGGTGGTACAAATGTAACTTTCACCCATGCTGCAGCACAGCATGCTTAAATTTAAAAGGTTGTTGAAAAGGTTGATGTATGTCTTGGAGTAAAGCTCACAACAGATAAATCAGCACGCACATGCTGCAGAACAGAGTGGCTGGAAAACCTTCCCATGGTCTACCTAGAAACCAGATGAGAAATCTCTTAACTGTAAACCCAAACACGAGGCATGGATCTTTCTACACGGCATTTGCTCCTTGTAATTCCTTCCTGAGTGTTTCAATCTGATCCACGTGATAATGTGGACGTGACTTCAAGTTTTACAGAACTGCTTAAAAATGCAGAACCGGGATGAAAATCTAAAATGGGAGGGGCAGGGCACAGAAGGCAGTTCCATCATTTAATGAAGCCTAGCATGACTGACAGACAACCTGTACCTTGAAGGTGACAGGGAACATCATATTCAATCTCATCGTGTCTCGATGGGCTAAGGAACAGGGTCCCGTCCACCAGCGGAAACTGTTCAAACACTGGCAGCGCCCTGTGGCATAGCGCACAGTTTACAACGTTCCTGTGGCTGGCACTAAGAGCAGCAAGGATAAACTTCCGAAGGTCCTCCCCTTGGCCCACCTGGGCATCGTCTTCCATCCGCACATGGAAAGTATTCAATTTATGCCTGGGGATATGAGTCAGCAGCTCGGACAGATCGAGCCTTCTCAGAAACTGCACAGGGGCATCGAAGTGTCCTGATCTATGTGCTTGCAAACCAGCTGCCCCGTAATCAAAATGCGCGTTCCTGAACATGCCCCCACCAGCCATGTTCTTCTTATGGGGCTCCAGGTGAATGGCGTTCTTCAAAAACTCTCCTAAGTATCGCGAGGAACGAGGGCCACTGAAATGCGTGGGGGCAAGAATAGAGTAGCCGGTGGGTGGGGACTGGCCGGGAGAGACACAAGGCGAACGAACTGCGTAGCTGCCGCCCATGACGCCCTTCTCCTGGGAGTTCTGCCTGTCCATCGAGTGCCTTCGCTGGAGGTCATGACTCAAGCCTTTCTGCGGCTTGTTGGCCGGCCTGCCCTTTTTGGCCTCCTCTGCTGACTCTGCCGTGGACCTTCCCGTGCTCTTCTCTAACACTGATTTTTTCTTCTTATCATCCTGCATTCGCTTCACCTGGTACCAGTCAGTGTCCTTCTTTAAATGACCCTGCCCACACCGACAGGAGCAAAAGCGAAAAGCCAGGTCATATCCCTTCTTTGTCCACATGTTTTGGCGACACTGCTTTTCGTTCCAGCTCCTGGCTCTGCCAATGCAATTGAACTGGACGAGAATGCTGCTTTCCCACTCGTAGAAGCACTGAAGGTGCATCCAGGTGCTGTACGGACAATGCTCGTTGTTGCATATAACCTTCTGGTAGTCATCCTTCTCCAGGTCCACCGGCCTTCCAAAGCTACAGATCAGTGGAGTAGCACAAGGGGCTTCTGTGGAAGATAAAACAGATACATTAATAACTTAATGGCCCACTTACTGCAACACTTCTTTAAACGCCGTCCCAAATACGCACACAAACTCTTATTTGTGATCCGTATTATCGAAGGGCCCCCCCCACAAGTACTAGCTCCGGGTCAGGGCAAAAAGCAGTCTTTGCCAAATAAAGTTAAGTACATGAAAGGAGATACGGAAATGAAGGAATAAGGAAACAAAATGACATTACAGTTTGTTTAATATTCAAAGCCAAAGCACCTCAGAAGCATTAGCCCTCCTCAAGGGTTTGTGGATACCGTTGTAAAGGCTTTAAGAAGTAAGGAGAAAGCTTTGTGGATATTTCTGGAGGGTTGCTTTGAAGCCTGAGAGACAACATGGGGCGAACACACAGAGATGCTTGTTTGAAAAACAAGTAGGCAACACAGCCTGGCTTTGCTATCACAGGGGAGGCAGGAATTGATCTTTTCTTTGGGACTGAGCAAGAGACAACAGCTAGGGAGAGGAGGAGGAAGCAGAGGACTTTGAAAAGCAAGACTAACAGCTTATGTTCCTAAGTGCAGAAAGGAGGGCCTTCCTTACATTGCTCAGGCAAATACAGACTATACCACCATCACTGACCTACTGGATAGCTAAATTTCACAAACCAAATAGTTCTGCAACACAGACAGGTCAAAAAACCACATGCCATGTCGTCTTTTATCAGCAAAGTAGCAGCCTTTGCTATATCCTTGAGCAAAGAACAGTTTTATTTCAATTCTCTCCCTGCAACAATATCAGCTTCTACACAAAAACTTTCTACAATAAACGTTCATTTACAGACCAATGACTTTTTCCCTTCCCTCACTGAAGTACCACAGACTACAAACTACTCCCATTTCTGGCGGCTCAGTTGCAGCTGGGAGGCACAGAAAGGACAGGAAATTTTCAGCTGGAGTTTCTACTGGATCTTAAGAGTTTCTAATTATGAAGGTTTCAGATGCTTCGTCAAGTATTACAAATATTTTTCCGCTGTATTTCTGACTTCCTACTTCCTCCCCTTCACCAAAAAACACTGCTCCAACAGGGCTGGCAGGCTGCCTTTTAACCTCTGTAATTGCTGCATTCAAACACTAGCAGGCTTCTTCAGGGTCTTCCATGGTCAAGTGCTGTCTCACCCTGAGCAAAACAGCGCAAACGGCTCCCTGCAGTTCCCAAGTCTCAGCCAGAGCTCCAGGGCTTGCAAAAGAGGTACACCGAGCCTCCTGGAGAGAGGCTGCCGTGATCCAAGTTTTTTTCCTTAGGACTTCAAATTTCTATCTGATAAGCAGGGAAAAAAGCACCACTCGGTTGCATTGCTTTTAATCCCATTCTTGTCACTGCCAGCACAAATAATACAACATAATTTGCAGTGGGATGATAGGTTTTACGCCGCTATGTTCACTTTTACTCAGACTTTCAGTAATAGACACACTACCCGTCATCATTCGTCCTACAGCAGTAATACACAAACCAGATGCTTTACAACAACAGATCTTTGCCATACTAGTGGCTTTGCCCCTTCCCAACAAGTTGTTGTTAAAAGGCTATAAACAAACAAACAAAATCTTCAAGGTTATCTTCAGTAAATTCAAGATTACGGTAGCTCTTAAGACCTATTTACCCAGAAGAGACGGGCACAAAGAGTACGAGAGAATTTTCCCAAGCCATTCCCTGGAAGATGCCACATCCTTCACCTCATTTGTCTGCCTCCGTTTTTAATGCCAGAAGCGGCACAGCTGCAAGGAGAATTTTCTGCAATACCTTTCCTTCAGGGACTAGACTATAAACTGCAACCAAGGTGCATTCCCAAAAATGTTCTCTTAAAGCAAAAAAAAAGGCTGTTTCATTTCAAAGGGTGGACTTCTTCAGTCATTAAAGACAAATTACCGAATTGCAGAGAACAGAGATAAGAGAGGCATTCCCTCAGGACTCTTTGGAAGTTCCTTCTATACATGTGACACTGACATTCTTACTAGTTGTCTCGGGTCTCTGAAAAGCCCACTAAGAACATGGAGGTTTTGAGATGTCTTTGAGAAGCATGAATTTTATTGGCTACCAATGACTAATTTTTCTCCACGCTTTTTACTGTGTATTATTGAGTATAACGTCACTGGCCAAGAGCAGAAGTGAACAACTTACCTGCCCTGAAATAAAATCTGTCAGTTTACCAGTTCAGAGTTCTCCCACCCATTCTCCCAGACTTCGATTGAAGTCACACTATGCCACGCTAAGCATGTCTGCAAAGTTCTTCTTTGTTGTCAGTCATTCTTTCATTATATTTAGGGTCTGAAAGCATAGTTTGCAATTATAGCATCCTTAAGAAATTCATCTCAGAAAGCCAGCTAAACTGAAACCATTAAAGGCAAATCATCAGAAGTCAGATATGCAGCAAGATACCAGAGGTACCAATATGAACAGTTCTCACTTACGCATTTCCTGTATTCATCTATTTTGGTACATATTCCTTTCCACCACTGTCAGAAGGCAGGAAGAAAGAACATGCCAAAAATCCACTTAAGCTCCCCCTGTGTTTCGGAGTGTAAATGTTCTAACAGTCGCAGGTATAATTATAGCTGAGAGCCGAGAAAGTTAGTATACAGACAAGTTGAGAGATCTCCACTTCAGAATAAAGACTTTACACTTCTTCATCCATACTGGCATAGTTAACTGACTAAAAAAGAAAAGTGTTTCCTCGATTAGCCTTTGAACATGTTTTTGGTTTTGGATGCAAAAACATACGATCTCTAGGCCCCTGGGAAGTTTACAGCCTATTCATTATGCGGACAAAAAATGCAATTAATAAAATAAGTGGGTGAAATACAGAAAAAAACACCACAGCCCATGTATTCCACAGAACATGTCCACAATTATTTGATTACGATCGTGCACTGGGTGTCTAGAGGCTATCGTAAAGGTGACTTTCAAGAGATTACTTCCCCTTTTCCCTGGTTGGTCAATGGAAGGACTGTGGAATGGGATCTTCTCCAGCTTCTCCTTGAGAACTTACAGATGCCAGATTACCCAAGGAACTTCCCACACAGCGTAACTATGAAAAAGAAAAAGCTTCAAGTTTTGGACAGCAATGTCTTTTTCAACATTTACGTTAACTAGGTGCCTACAAAGTTTTCAGACGTTCCCTCATCTGACCTTCTATCTGCTCAGTGTGAATTGGCTAGTCACACAACCACTACAGCAAAAGCAGGTCTAGAGCAGCAGGAAGAAAGCAACGGAGGGAACAAGAGCCTTCCCCCATGCAAAAGACTCCACTGAATTGTTAAATGGTGGCACTGAGATCGCTTTGGAAAACATCATTGCTAAGAGGAGAAGCTGGTCCCTACCCACCTCTTCTGGGAACTCACCTGACATTTCACCACTGTCACTGGAGTAGCACAAGAAATACTAGAAAACCAACAGGTCTCTGCCATGTTGCCACGCTCCAGAGTAAGGTTAAAGCCATGCTAGTCAAAGCACCTGCTTTCACTGATACCGGTTTGTTATTACGAAGCCTGCCAATTTGGAGAAGGCCTTGATAAAACTGCTGCAGTATTTCCACAACAGAAACTGAAGAGCCCGGCATGGCTCATGAAAGTTGTCTCAGTAGGAAGTTCTGCCACTTCTGTAGTATCCCCATATTTAAGAAAGCAGAAAACTCCACTACCTGAAAAGCGTATAGAAATCTCAAGCCAACATTTCGTTCTGCCTAATATTTCAAATTCCAGCAGGTCTATCTGTACAAAACAGACTGTGCAGGACTGAACGTCCCTTGCAGACTTCTCTCCATTCATGTCTCCTGCCAAACATAATCATGCCACGGGTTCCTAAAGAACAAATGAGAAACAGAAAACAAAGCAATTTTTTGTGCAACCTTCCCGGTTCACAGCAACAGATATGCCTTAGGAGCAAAAGAGACAGCATTCAGATTGCTTAGTATGGGAGCCGCATTAGCATATGTGAAGAGCTCTTCCCATCAATTCACACCCTTGAAAGTGCTCTGGGTTATTTAATCATCATTTTATAAATGAGACAAAGCACTTATTACAGAATTAAAAAACTTTAAAAATTCTTGTTATCAAGCCCTTCTATTTCCCATTAATTAGAAATGCATTTTGAGATTCTTCTTCAAAAAGTCAGAGCTAGGATCGCTGTCTTAATGTTTTATGATAACAGTACAACAATTACTGTCAAGAGAGACAATAAAGGGGAGTAAATAGACATTCACATGGACAAACTGCCCATCCACACCTGCAGCCCCAAGCTGGTTTGTCACCTGAATATAATTTGCTTCCAAGTAGCTAATAGCTCAACAGATTTCTGGTTTCCAAAGTTATGAAATTGAACTTCAGGAAAAATGAAAGATTACCAGGTATCAGAGCAGCATCCATTCTCCCAGAAGACCCTTCTGAAAGAATGCCTACATGACCGTTAAAAGTACCTCTACTTTACCTCTCAGTTTCAAGATGGTTTTCACAGCCTAAGAGAACAAAACAAGACAGCATGCAGTTTTGTGTAGCAGAACGGCATTGAAGTTTAGACACAAGCGCACGGCTGTAACAGAGAGGCTGCCCAGTTGCAACTACAATTGCACGCTGCTTCTTTCCAGAAGTTATGTTTCCACATTAAAAAATAAATGTTTTCTCATATTCCACTGTAGTGATTTTGATCAGTGATTCTGAAAATAGTTGCAAGGGGCAGCACATAAATGTCCTCTAAAACAGAAATAACATACAATAGTCCAAACAAACGTACATTTGAGCAAAGATAGGTAATTGTTTAAACAAGGTTATGTTTTATGTTTGACAGAACTACCATTTCAAAAATGAGAACATGATGGAAGACTGCAAGGAAGCTGGTTTGGGTGTTTGGCTTTTTCTCAGTTTTTCCATTCAGGTTTATACACATCAATAAAAGCTGGGAATAGAAACAGACAGTTGAGATAAATCTCCTTCAACAAAAAAACCACATTAACCGGTTTCTACATTTTAATAAAAAAGGAGAGTATATGAAGGCGACGCTTCCCATTTTATGACCCAAACAAAAGCAGCAGAACAACGGCTGCCTCAGGAACTTCCCGCTGGTGAAGTAAATGGAGGAGAATGTTGTTTACTTCTGTTTACACACCCATCATAAAACCAAAGATGCACCCAGCAAGCCAAATGCAATGACTCCACGGCTTCAGTTTCGTGACTGCTCTCATTTGTTCCAAGTTCTCAATGCGAACGCCTAAAGCAAAATTCGCTCTTCCACCCCCACGTTCCCACATTATCCATTGTGTGAAGCACTAGAGTTTTTCAGTCAGTGGACAGAAACAGATAATTATTTCCTGTACTCATCAGCGTAGGTTTCAGCTCACCGCACAGACTTGCGATCGCTGGTACAGCTCAAGGGGGGTGTTAAACATGTGAGGTTGGGGGCAGAGGAGAGAGAAGTGTGGCGGCTGTTGGAAGAGGCAGCCCTACTGTCATCTTAAAACAACTGTCAGGCAATGGTAGGTTGTTACGGATCTGGAAAAAGAAATTATGAAAAAAAAAGGTAAGGTCTTGGCACCGGATCAGCTGCAAGACAGTTAACTATGGCTTGCTTTTGGTCTACCGTTACTCTAGCATCATCTATGCCAAGGACACTTTACTTGCCAGCACATTACTTAGGCCAGAAGGGTACCTATGGGACACATACTTTACAAATCAAGCACTTTAACCTCTACCACCACTTTCCCATGAACAGTGCTCCCTTCACAACCCTACACAGCTAGGAATTGTTCACTCTGCCAGCTTGAACCAGAGCCGAGTCAGTTCTGTGGAAGGCTACTCCCTACCAACCATCTGCACGAATCTTCTGAATTTCCTCTGCCATCAGCATAGCTTTATTTTAATTGAAGTCATACAATATTATCGTGCTAATACTGTAATTCAGCTGTAGAAAATAAACCACCACCACAACAACAAAACAGACTGAACACAAAACTTGTATTAATTGTCCAATGTGTTTGCTTTGGTGAACCTTGGAACACAATCTAATATTCAAAAGATTACCAAGATGTGACAAGATGGTATTGCCATACGCATAACTGCTTAAACAGTACAAATAACACAGCAATACAGAAACGATCCGTTACCTTCCTAAGAGCCTGAATGCAGCAGGAAGAATGCAATGGGAAAAAATGTTTCACGAGTGGATCCAAAATGCAGGCTTGGATCTTCAGTGGAGCAACAACAAATAACAGCCAACAAAGAGCGAGAGAAGTCTTCCAAAACAGCTCGGCTCATGGCTTATATTGATAACACTCCCTGATGATAACTGATGTCTCTCCAACACTTCTTAAGCAATCTTTGCAGACTGATTGAGATGAAAGTTTCTAGTCATTCTCTGGGAAGGAGGGGGAAAAACAAGACAGCAGTACCTGGTAAGCCGCCTAAAACACAGGCTTTCTTCTATGTCACGAGAC